CGCCCTGGTGGCCACTGCTGGCTCTGGGCTGGCAGGCTTGGAGCTGGCACAGGCACTGTGGCCAGGGTCTACCCCTTTAATGTCTCTGGGGCTGGGGGAGAGGAGAGAAGTTTTCCTGGTTGTGCCCAGAGTGGCCACCAGGGCTCCCTGGGAAGGGCTGGAGGCCCCCTATTTCGAATTAAGCGTCTACACAGCACTTCATTCGAAATAGCTATTTTGAATTTGGCGTTACTCCTCGTGGAATGAGGTTTACCAAATTCGAATTAAGCACTCCGCTATTTGGAATTAATTTTGAAATTGCGGTTTGCATGTATAGATGCTATTAAAGTTAATTCGAAATAATGGCTGTTATTTCTAATTAACTTTGCAGTGTAGACGTACCCTGAGGTCTTTAGTTATCCTCCTGGGTGTGCCTCACCACCCAAAGAAAAAGAAACTCCTAGCTTCCTATTGTTTTATAGATACCACGTTTCCATGGACAATTATTTGGTCAGCCTCTACCAGTTAGGGAGGTCATGTGACTTCCTAAGACCAACCAATGCTCAGACTTAAAGGACAAAGGAGACTGTTTACAGTTGGTCATCTAGACTTTGAGGGAAACACCCGTGATGGCTCTTATTCGCACAGTTACAACCATAAACCATTCCATACTCCATATATCTGACTTGACACACAGGAATGATACATACACCAAATAAGATATACAGATCCAGCAGATTATGAAATGAAGATTGCCCTGAGCATCTTTGAGTTATGCATATTCGTGTCCATAAGTCCATTTCACAAAGCATGTGGGGAGGGGGGGTCCTGTCACAGGGACACTCTGAAGCAAGCTTAAATGGCAACTGAGACTAGGTATGTCAACAAGTAGTTGAGTATACAATAAACCAATAAGCCTAAACATATTGGTTAATCATGTTGACTACTCACATTTCCCCCACCCTGGTTGCCTCTGTATCAGAGGCACCAAAAAGGGGGGAGCAGGAGCAGGTGCTGGGGGGAGCCAGTTCCCTCTAGCACTGGCTCCATGCTGATGCCTGCCTCTATAAGCTAGCCTTAGCCAGTTTGCACTGTACTAGTAACAGTGTGAACTGCATATTTATATAGACCAAGTCTAAATCTTCAGAAAACTGCATTTTACAAAACAAATCTGGTTTATGAAATCAGATACTGTTTGGTGTTGTTTTTTTTTTTTTTTTGTTCTTCCATCTTCCAGAGTAAGTGTGTCAAATACTGGCCTGATGAATACGCTAGCCTTAGCCAGTTTGCACTGTACTAGTAACAGTGTGAACTGCATATTTATATAGACCAAGTCTAAATCTTCAGAAAACTGCATTTTACAAAACAAATCTGGTTTATGAAATCAGATACTGTTTGGTGTTGTTTTTTTTTTTTTTTTGTTCTTCCATCTTCCAGAGTAAGTGTGTCAAATACTGGCCTGATGAATACGCGTTAAAGGAATACGGGGTTATGCGTGTTAGGAATGTTAAGGAAAGTGCAGCTCATGACTATACGCTAAGAGAACTCAAACTTTCTAAAGTTGGTCAGGTAAGTATGTCAGTAGCTTTTCTTTTCTTTTTTTTTTATTGTCTGGTTGCTTAGTCCTCTAGAGTTTCTAACAAATCTTCATCTTTTAATTTAGGAGCAAAAAATTGCAGAAAGGGATAAGCCATCTATGGACTGTCACGGGGCAGGTACACTACACCCATCTCTGCTGGGGTAGCCTGACCTAGCGGTCACAGACAATAAAACACCCCTTCTGGAAGGGCAGTGAGTCCTAGCGGCCAGAGTCAATATCAACGTCCTCTAGAGTTTCTAACAAATCTTCATCTTTTAATTTAGGAGCAAAAAATTGCAGAAAGGGATAAGCCATCTATGGACTGTCACGGGGCAGGTACACTACACCCATCTCTGCTGGGGTAGCCTGACCTAGCGGTCACAGACAATAAAACACCCCTTCTGGAAGGGCAGTGAGTCCTAGCGGCCAGAGTCAATATCAACCCACCCTGTTTGCAGGGCAATAAGGTTTAGCAGCCAGTGGCCATTCCCCACTCCCTCCCCTTCC